AAATAATTAATTACCCACCATGTTAGTTACAACAATATAAATTATTAAAATACGCTAAAAATGGAAATCCAGTAATTTACTGAGCTAAAATGTCTTCATTTTTTAACTACCGCACTTTAAGAGTAATAAAAATACACATATATCGAGAAAAATCACTCGTTTTCATGTTTCTATTATATTTAAAAGTAATTTTTTATATTTAGTGTAAAAACAAACTGATTGAAAAAAATTATCGAGGGTGCCCGGAAGTCTGTATTAATTTTAGTCGTTAGAATTAATGTATCAAAATAATTCTTTTTTTATTAGGTTTAGAATCTCAACGCACAGGTTCCTTTAAAAAAATCACTGAGTAATTTGTTCTCGTTTAATTGTAATTAATTAAAATGTAAAAAACAACTTGTACTTTTCTACAAAAAAATATTCTCATGGATCTCTTCGTTCGTCTCAAATATAGAAAAAGAGATATTTTTCTTTTATATAATCAAATGAGATTATAAGGCGTGCACTTTTCGATTTTCCAAACTTTTTTATTTTACGATTGCCACTAATGGATAGGCAATGTATTAATGAACATTTTGATCTGTTTAATTTTTACAAAAGATAAATATTCGATTTTATAAAGAAAATATTTTAAAATATGGGAGAATTTCTTACGCGATCTATTATTGTAAAGAGAGCGCGTGGAATGTATAGAACCGAATGCTACAGGTCGTCCGCTAGGAGTAGCGCCTTAATTGGCCTCCTCTTTAGATTGTCTTGTTGGTTGGCTTTTGCTATAGTTGCCACGCTGGCAAGGCGGGATGGCGAAAGAACAATGCTGCTGCCTATATTTTGTTTCAGTTTCCCCCTATCCCCACTTACGACACCTATAGCCAGTCCAGCGTACTTGTATATGTAGAGGTCAGTGAGATGATTATATTTTACTTGGTGGTCAGTACTAGGGATGAACAAAAACTATACTTAAAAATATAGATTTTTAATACTATTCATTTGTTTGATAATGCATTGTCATCCCCGAGGACTACAGAATGCCTAGTTTCAAGCAGAAAGGGTACAGTCAATGTAATTGTCTACACTCATTGTCTTTTCCCGATCGAGCCGACTCATTCGTGCTACAACAATTATATAGCTGCTGCATTCTCTACAACGCGTTGATATATTATAATACTAGCTGTTACCCGCGGCTTCGCCCGCAAGGTCACTGGGAAATGAACTATCCATTGCTTTTTGAATTGAAAGAAAACTGAGTTTTAAAGATTTGTCAGAGATCAGCCGCCATTAAAAGGAAACTGAGCAAAATTGATTCGTCAGCCTATTTAAACGTTTTGAAACGCAGCGTATAGGAAAGCATGAAAATAGCCTGTTTATTCCAAATGGAAATGGGATATTTTTTTAATTAAACGAAACTGAGCATAATTATCCGTCAGGGATGCAGACTTTTGAAAAGAAACTGAGCTAAATTGATTCGTCAGAGATGCAGTTTTTGAAAGGGAAGATCAATGGGAATTCTGATTAATTGACTGTGGGAATTTTAGAAAAAAAAACTAACTGAACACTATTTTAAGACGCTACTGTACACAATGTTATATGTTTTTCCATTCGGGGAAAGAATGTGGAGATTCTGGGCATTTGACACACGTGAACATGCTACATACAGCTGACCATGAGAGAAGCACGGTTTTTCTAAGTTGACCCCCGCTACCTGTAACGTTTGCCCTTGCGCTTTATGTCATTGCAAAACTGAGCTTAATACGGAACTGCAACCTTTTGAATTGAAAAGGAAGATCTGTGGGAATTATAGGGATCCGTGGTATAATAACATTTTCACCTTTTCCTACGGCTGTCAAAATTGTAGCACCGATTATGTTCCGTCGAAGATGTGTCACACGCAGCTTTGTCCCGTTACATAACCTAAACTTTGCATTAGCATGACTGGGACGCCTAATTTTAATTGAAGCTTATGTGAGGGCACACCTGACAACTCTAGAGAATTTAGAAACTCTACGGGATATGAAGTGCTCTATTCTGTATCTATAACTGTGTCTACCGACAAAATTAAGTACTCTGTTACTTCGCTTAATATATCTGAATTTATTTTGTTAACGCTCTCATTTTTTGGTGCAAAAATCGCCCTTTCACATAACCATTTATCTTCATGCATGTTGTTCGATAAATCTGAATAAACGCTCGCAACTAATGCGGAATGACTTTGTACTAGATTAAAAAAATCTCTCGTCAATTTAACGCAACCCTCAGCATCCGTTTCCAACCACCCATCGTCAATTTTTAATAGTGTATCAGCATAGTTTCCAGCATTGATATCATTACAAATGCAATTTCATATTCGTAGTTAAACTGAATTTTGTCACCTTGTTCCATAAAATAGACGACTTGAGGCATGCTTTAATTTCATCTGCAGGTGTGCCCACAGGTAAAGTTTGGCGAAAGTCACCAGCTAGTAAAACCACCATTCCTCCCATTACATCGCTATTGCTGCGCAAATCCTGGAACGTTCGATTCGATTTAGTGCTTCTACAGCTTTTTTACGCGACATTGTACTTTCGTCCCACACTAAAAGATTGCATTGTCGTAGCGCCTTTCATGCTCTCCTCGAGGGGTCCAATCTGCGTGAATGACGACTTTATAATCCTCTTCAGGTAGATTTTCTAAAGCAAATTTAAATGTTTTGACTAAATGTTACGTTCATGCAAGAATCTTTGAATTTTGAACACTGTGTCTCTCTCAACTCCCTGGATAAATTAGCAGCAACGGTCTACCTCAATTTCTTCGTCACCCATAAAATATACTTGTAAAAATTTATGCTGTTCGTTTTCAGCTGGAAAAAGTGAACCTATTCCATGATAAATTTGCCCTTGCACCGTAAATGTAGGCGAAAATCCCGGCATTATTATTTCCCGGTCAACTCCGAAGGACGTCATTTGAAAGCATGAGTTATATTTTCGGATCCTGTTTAAAAAGCGCCGTGACTCTTAGCATCATATAAAAAGAGAGTTTTCAAAGATTCTTCTGGTTCCACAAGTAACGGAAGAGACACTTTGCCATAGAAACAGCACATGCCTGCGGTCTCATCTTTCCATTTTAACGCGCTGCAAAATCGACACGCCTTGTCCATCAGTCCGATAACAACTAACCTGTGATTTTTATAATCAATCAACGGATCATAATTGAATGCTGCGTCATTAAAAACCGACCAATTATTTCTTTGAAAATTTTGTCGACGTTCAGCTTGGAGCTGTGCATTTACATCTCTTCACACCTGTGTCTGTTCTGGTGTTTCAGACGCCCTTATAGTAGATTGACGTTCAGCTTGTTCGAATAGCCTTTGCTGACTTTGAGCAGGTGTTTCAGTAGCTCTTAAAGTAGATTGACGCTCTGCCTGTTCAAGACCCCTTTGCTGACTTTGATCAGGTGTTTCAGAAGCTCTTAAAGTAGCCTGATGCTCTGCCTGTTCAAGACGCCTTTGCTGACTTTGAGCAGGTGTTTCAGTAGCTCTTAAAGTAGCTTGACGCTCTGCCTGTTCGAGACGCCTTCGCTGACTTTGAGAAGGTGTTTGAGAAGCTCTTAAAGTAGCTTGACGCTCTGCCTGTTCAAGACGCCTTTGCTGACTTTGATCAGGTGTTTCAGTAGCTCTTAAAGTAGCTTGACGCTCTGCCTGTTCGAGACGCCTTCGCTGACTTTGAGCAGGTGTTTCAGTAGCTCTTAAAGTAGCTTAACGCTCTGCCTGTTCAAGACGCCTTCGCTGACTTTGAGAAGGTGTTTCAGAAGCTCTTAAAGTAGCTTGACGCTCTGCCTGTTCAAGACGCCTTTACTGACTTTGAGCAGGTGTTTCGGAAGCTCTTAAAGCAGCTTGACGCTCTGCCTGTTCAAGACGCCTTTTCTGACTTTGAGAAGGTGTTTCGGATGCTCTTAAAGCAGCCTAACGCTCTGTCTCTTCAAGACGCCTTTGCTGACGTTGAGAAGGTGTCTCAGATGCTCTAAAAGCAGCCTGACGCTCTGCTTGTTCTTGCCTTCTCAGTTCAGCATCTTCTAAAGATTCTAACGATCGAGCTAATCTTTTCGCTTGTCTTTGAGAAGATACTCTTGAAAGGCTGGACTTACGTTTGCGAGGCATTACGAAGTAACAAAAAACCTTTTTATAAAAAAACGTTAAATTACCTAAAAGGAATTAAATTTCCTTTTAAATATTTCTTTTAAAAGCAAATCCAAAATATCTAAAAGGAATAAATAAATGTTGAATGTAATGAATAAAAAAAAGTGTTGTAAATACAGATCCATACATTTTTTATCTTAATTTTGGTAAAAAGACATAATAATCCAGATATTCTGACCTTCTGTGTTCGTCCGTCGTACCGTCGTCCGTCTTGTAGAATCACGGTGGCGCCACCTAGCTGAATTTAATTTTGCAACATATTCGATTTTCCCACGGGAATGATGTTTTTCCGCTGAAAAAAGTAGCCTATGTCACTCTACAGCCACCGAACTATCCACATACCAAAATTCATGCCACGCCGACGCTCTGTTGCGACGTGAAAGAAGGACAAATGTTTGCAACATCTTCTATTTTCCCACGGAAATGAGATGTTTTTCCGCGGAAAATAGTAGCCTATGTCACTCTACAGCCACCGAACTATCCCCATACCAAAATTCATGCCATGCCAACGCTCTGTTACGACGTGAAAGAAGGACAAACAAACAAACAAACAAACACACTTTCATATTTATAATATTAGTATGGATTAACTTTGTGTTATGTATTAGATTTTGATATTATTCAATAATTTAATATAATTGCTTTAGTAGGTAAATTCTCAAATGTCAAATTACGGTACGTATAATTTAGTAGTTTGTTAATTTGGTTATTAAGGGATGAACAAAAACCACATGTTTAAAAAAAGATTTTTAATATTATTCAGGATTTAATATTATTGACTAGGAAAATTATAAAATATAAAACTGAGGTAATTTTGATTTCATAATGGTTACTTCTCTTCGTCTACATCTTTATTTACTATCTGTACGTCATCTGAGACTTGCATGACACACGTTGGGTCATCGGTGTGGTTCGTAAACATGAACTGAGAATTTGCTTTCAGCTTCAGCACCTCACTCCGTACTAATATCAGAAGGTATGTGTGAACAACTGAAACAAATCACCATTGTTTTGTAAAACAGCAGTGACATATGAACTTACAATCAGATGATAAGTGGCTACTGTAGCCCACGGACACCTGCAAGCCATTTCAAACAAAGGAGTCTACAGACGTGTGTCTACAGAATACTGCCTGTAATATTCTGGCTCTCTGTACTCTTGCAATCAGGATTTAGAGCAGAGCCTGCACTGCTGCTTGACGGCATACAGAGGAAAGAGAGTCGTATCTACCCAGACGAACTCCTAGGCAAAATATTATTAATTTAAATTAAACTTTTATTTAATAACGAAGATGTTTTAAATTAGTACAGTATTATAGTTGAGTATTGTTTTAAGTGTAATTGTAATTAATAGAATCAGGCGTTACTTTCCGGAAATCCATTATACTAAAGATATTAAAAGTTACTAGCAGTCAGCTACCGCAGAGTCTACATTACCTAAAGATGCCTCGTGTATAGGCGAAACACGTGTCTTATTATAGTCGATGGTGTGTCTTTTCTAGAGTAGTGGTTTTGGGAGTAGTGGTGTTGGGAGTAGTGGTGCTAGGATTAATGGTGACGGGATTAGTGCACGCGATTGAGGGAGGGCGGGAGGTGTTCTTCAAACTAGGCAAGATATACATCATTTTATTTTATTGAGTGGATGGTTGCAAATTAACTTTCAATATCTTTAGTATAATCATATTCATATTTTAATAGAAATTACTCCTGCCACCAAAGTATATTTGGAAATATTTCTGTTTTTATTTTTATGATCTATGGACGTTTCTCTGGATGATCAAGGGATTTTTATTACTGCTATTTTTTAGGCTTCTATTCTGCCTCGTTCTATCCTCGAACCTATTTAACTGACAAGCAATAAATACTACACCCGCTACCAAATTCCGGTACTGCATGAAAGGTATAAGAGTAAGTCCGTATTATTTTCGCTTGGCGTAAACTGCAAGACGTGATGTGTAATTCCATTACATTCGTACATATATACTGGATGACCTATTTTACCGTCTGGAAAAAGAGTATAACATGTAAACGGAGAAGAAGCCTATGTCACTAATATTAAAAAAATGATAACAAAAATTTTGAATTAAATAAATAATATAATTAAAATCTATGGAAACTGACAAAGTGACAAGGTCAAAGATGCCTACTAAATTTATTGTTTTATTGCCGTTCGGAAGGTACCTAAAGTGGATATGATTTGAATTTCGATAGTTTTTAATTAATTTCCTTATTTCATTTAAAAAAAACTGTTTTGATGGTGCCATAGGCTTCTACTTCGTTCACATGTTACACCCTATTTTTTACCAGGCGCTAAAAAAGGTCATCCAGTATATACTATTATGTATCTATGCATATAGGTTAAGTTTATTAAAAGTTGTGTAAAAAGAACTTACTCATTGAAGCACAAACAGCCGATGCAAGTATTATAATTTTATGCCATAATTTTGATTCTTTAAGGGGATCATTCGCTGAAGCAATCGCATAAACAATGAATAAGAGAGCAGAGGCTGTAATAACGAACCCATGTGCGATCCCATAGCGGTAGTAGAGTCGTAACAACGTAGTATGTTTCTGAAACAAACAAAATATTATCTTTCGAAATTATATGTAGTAGAGCCAAACTGCAGCTATATTATGGCTGTAGCACGAATGGGCCAGCTCGACCCGGGAAAGTCCTCGAGATATAATTATTATATCCGACCCATTACCATGTTAGCCTACTGATCCGTTGTTCTATAATATTTTATATTATATACGTTCATAGTAGAAAGGTGACCTGCTGCGTGTTTGTAAACTTGCGTGCTTACGATACAAACAAATATTTCTAATATTTATCAAGTTTGGGAATTCGTATCTATTGGAGAGTTAGTGAATTTCTTTGCTTCATAACCCTCTCGAAAAATGAGAGGAAGCATATGGCCGATGATGAGACGTCTGTTGACTACAAATATCACAAATCACAGTCGTGAGCCATCCATCGACTTCCTGCATCTTTTACCAGGTCGTCACTTCATATAACCCTACACTTCACTTACCGGTACGAGATTGCCACTCGAGAACCTTTCTTTCCCAATATACGGGCTATTACCTATAATATATTGATCGGTTTAGTGCTAAAACAGAAATTTTGTCACTTTCGTAAGAAACTCGAATGATCTTACTTGTGTTTACATTAGTTACTACTTCTTCACGTGGTAGAGCCATGCTGCAGTTATATTAGTAGTATAGTTGAGCCACGAATGGGTCGGCTTGACCGGGGAAGAACCACGCTCTGACAGAATAGGGGCGTGAAATGGTAGCTTAATGCTGCTGTCTTTCGTAAGGTGAGTGTAGAGAACCGGAGACCCTTTTTACTGAAAACGAGGCATTCCATCTTAGTCCTCAGGGGTGACCACGCATCTGCATTTTGATTTGTGATCGAGGACAGATGTAGATGTCTATGGGCCGCCGTTTGTCACTCTATCCTATAAAAAAGTTAATTTTTAAGTTAAGGTTACTGCCTATACACGTCCCACTGCGTTTATTTCTTATTTATATAAGAGTGTTTTAGGGCAAGGCATTGTTCGTCGCGCTGCCCCAATGCGTGTTGGCGAACTTCACATGTTTTCGAAATATTTTTCTTATTTCTCAGATTTGCAGGTTTTGTCAAGATATTTTCCTTCACCACCGAGGACGTGGTACATCAGCACTTAAAATTGCAATTAACAATTCTCCGGCGGAGATCGAACCCGGGTTGCTCGCATACTGTTAAATTTACAGCGAGTAGTTAGCCGCTGAGCTACGACGGCTCTACTGTTTTCACATTATCCAAATTTTATTTTTCCTTTTTTAATCGATCCATATTTTGTGAATATCGCGACCGACACTTGTTCAGAATATAAATAAAATGATTTTATATTTAAGAGTGTTACAGTTAAGGATGAGCTTTGGCACAAGTTTTATTTTAATCTTACTAGAAGGATCCAACTATTACATTATTTATGTTTATTAATCTTAAACAAATAAAGCATTTATTTATTTATCTTATTAAATGTTGGAACAAGTTATAATGGGTTAGGTTCAATTTTAAATAATTTAATCGAAAATTTTTTTTTTACCATTTATTTGTTATTGGCAGACAAGATAGACAACATTGGTTACAAATAGAAATATAAACTTTTTTATTCAATGTAGATTATATAAATAATACTTATTAAAATTCACTCTTGTGTTTAATTTACCACTGTCCTGCGAAGAACCAGGAAGAAACCAAACGGGACGTTTAGAAAAAATGGTTACAATCAAAATAATTTGTCCCATTTTGTCTTAAGTTTTTGCTATAAAAGTTAAGAGTGAGAAAAAATCTGATGGTAAGTACATGATGATCAACGTTGCTGTAAAAATGCTGTAATATATAGCTTAGTTTAGATTATAAACAAAAATTGTGTTTTCAAATTAAACTCACCTTATGAGCGCCGATTATGAGCACCAAGTTGAAGATAATATCAAATAAAAGAATAGTAAGTATCACCACAACTAACACTATAAAAACCATGACGTCTCCAATCATAACTACGAATATAATGCAGCTAAGAATCCATATAAGGGCTGTTATGAATATTGTTATACTTGTGACCTAGAAGAAATTCATAAAAATTATTTCGTCATTCAATTGCGATAGGGAATCCTTTTATCATTCGTCATTACTGCAATTCAGAAGTCCACAGCCAAACATAGGTCTCCCCAAGAAATTCTACAACTTTCAGGAAACTAACCGTATCCCGAAGTGGTTCCAAAGACAAAAAAGAGCAAAGACTATATAGTTAGTCACACACAAAACTTTGGTCTTTGCGCTACCGCGTTATTCTTCAAGGCTAGTTTGAATTTTTTAGTAATTAGATTGAAAGTGGATAAACCAATCTACAGATATTCCTAAAAGTAAAAGAGTTAAAGAAATATATATATATGGAAAATCCTGCCCCTGTCTACAACGACACCCCCTGTAATCCGACATGGTCCGTTATTAATTATTGAATATTTAAGTTCTAACTTGTACGCCTCACCACTATTGTGCTCGACGCGTAGGGTATTATTTTGATTCTGATTGACAAATTTGATTCTGATAATGGTTGAAAGATCATAATTTTCCTCAAAAACCGTTAATGCTTTTTGATAAAGCACTTGAATTGATTGATTCATAATTTTTGATTATTTTAGTATATACATTTATTTGCACATAATTATTTCCTAATGTAAAGTTATTGCATATATTTTGTAAACTGCTTTGTCGGATTACCGGGTATTACTGTATATATAATCTAGAACCTGTAAAACTTATATTTAAATCGAAACTTTTTAATGGTGATGACACTGTACTGACAAAAAAGTTCACCTTAGTCCACTGTGGACTAAGGTGAACTTTTTTGTCACGCAGATCGTAACAAACAAGTTCACTTTAGTTCAAACTAGCTACATCTAGCCCATTTATATGAAAATGACCTTCGTTGGAAAACGCAATATTTTTTGTAACTCCGGAAGCGCTTCAATATTGTTTCGACAAAAACATGACCCAAATTGTGATAATTTGGTTGTATATCCTGAACTAGCTGAATCATATAGGAGCGTAATGTTAATCCTTTCGCCAATATGCGATGCAAAGTGTTCTTGTTAGAGCGATCTCAGCAGATGTTTTAAGAATAGAAAGTTCGGGATCTTTTTGTATGGTAACAAATTGCTTCCTCTGCACTTATTGGACCAGTATATATATATATATATATATATATATATATATATATATATATATATATATATATATATTACAGAGGGTTATTTTTCAAACAGTAGCCAAACTTTAGACTTAATTTCAAATATATAAATAATGACATAACTTTATTGCAGTGTTTTAAAAATAAGAGTAAATAAGGCATTTTGTATTTACAACAAAATAAAATAAAATAAATAAAACATAAAAAGGACAGAACGTTTGAGATTTAAATTAATTTTTCTTAACCATTTGACTATACTATTTATTCTGAACTTTATCTTCAAATTTGACCTATATACAGGGTTATTGCAAAATAACCCTGTATATAGGTCACACATTAATTACTTGGGATTGAGTTATGATAAATGGACACAGATAGACCATGTCCCAGATTAATAATGAGATATGTTTACCACAGGTGATGTCCTTTTTAGCATTACGTTTGATTATACAAGATAAATAAAATAAATCGCAGTTTAATAAAACAACTGTACGCTCGAGCTACTTATCGATTAACATTAATTGGTTTCATAAATAGATTTCGTTGAATTATTAAGATTCTAGTAAAGTTAAACTTACCAATTTAAAGTAAGCCCAGACTAAAAGCCCGTATCTCAAGGGCGCACAGAAGCAACATTTTGTAAATGATGGGATATCTGTGTACATTGTATTAAAATGTTACTATACAAATATAATTACACAAAATCTTCGAAATACTAATATATACTCGTACGCGTTCGAAACACGCAGGCAAATCGAGCGCAGATAGCGAACTGTCGTATTAATATCATCTCGACGGAAATATATTGCAATGATAACCACAAAACAAAATTACCAGGTTCATACCAAGTAAACGATAACAATGTTGTTTTGCTCGATAAAACAAAAAAAAACGTTATTATTTATTTTGCGGAAAATACAATATTTTTATTACTGTATCTTCCTCTCATCTTTAGAGGCTTCTTGAAAAAATGAAATCGAAGTGGCCTATTTCCAGAATTATTACTGTACGTATGTTGGCTGTAACTTTGCATTGAATAAAATAATCAAGCCGGTTTCCGAAAAGGCTTTAGTACCATAGACCACATACATATCCTTCGGCAAATTGTACAGAAGTCCGAAGAGTACAATCTGCCACTTTGCCTGGCGTATGTGGACTATGAGCAAGCCTTTGATTCCGTCGAAATTTGGGCGGTGCTACAGTCTCTTCAGCGGTGTCAAGTTGACGGTCGGTATATCGAAGTGCTGAAGTGTTTGTACAGTAAGGCTACGATGGCTATCCGAGACAGGGTGACGTTATTTCCCCGAAACTCTTCACCGCTACATTGGAAGACGTTTTCAAGCTACTGGACTGGAAAGGATACGGTATTAACATCAATGGCGAGTACATCACTTACCTTCGATTTGTCGACGATATACTCCTTATGGCAGAACCGCTGGAGGACATAAGCACTATACTCAATGACCTCAATAGTGCCTCCCAACGGCCTATCCGTTGAACATGGACAAAACAAAGATCATGTTTAATGTCCATATCACACCTATGCCGGTAGTACGGCACTATACGGTACGGTACGGTAATACGAGTACGTTTACCTGGGACAAATAGTCCGACTAGGTAAGTCCAACTTCGACCGAGAGGTCAATCGACGGATTCAACTCGGCTGGGCAGCGTTCGAGAAATTACGACGCATATTCTCGTCAGGTATACCTCAAAACATGGAAACTAAGTTGTACAACCAGTGCGTGTTGCCAGTGATGACCTACGGAACCGAGACGTGGTCCTTCACTGCTGGCCGTATGAGGACGCTCAAAGTCGCTCAGCGAGCTATGGAGAGGGCTATGCTTGGAGTTTCTCTGCGTGATAAACTTGTAGTTGTTGGGAGCACTAAGCTCGAAGTTGTTGACGAGTACGTTTACCTGGGACAAATAGTCCGACTAGGTAAGTCCAACTTCGACCGAAAGGTCAATTGACGGATTCAACTCGGCTGGGCAGCGTTCGGGAAATTACGACGCATCTTCTCGTCAGGTATACCTCAAAATATGGAAACTAAGTTGTACAACCAGTGCGTGTTGCCAGTGATGACCTACGGAACCGAGACGTGGTCCTTCACTGCTGGCCGTATGAGGACGCTCAAAGTCGCTCAGCGAGCTATGGAGAGGGCTATGCTTGGAGTTTCTCTGCGTGATAAACTTAGAAATGAGGATATCCGCAGTAGAACCAGAGTGACCGACATAGCCCAACGGATTAGTAAGCTGAAGTGGCAATGGGCCGGCCATATAGCTCGAAGAACCAACAACCGTTAGGAAAAAAGGTTCTCGAATGGCAGCCTCGTACCGGTAGGCGAAGTGTAGGGCGACTCCCCACTAGATGGTGTGACGACCAGGTATGACATGCAGGAAGTCGATAGATGCAGGTGGCTCAGGATCGTGCTTTGTGGCATACCTTGAGGGAGGCCTATGTTCGGTAGTAGACTTGTGAAGGGCTGTAATGATAGAGGTATATATATATATATATATATATATATATATATATATATATATATATATATATACACATGGAGCATAAGCGTCATGCGTTTATTCCCTAAGAAATTGGAAGTATTAAGAAGCAACAAAGCGATTAGAAGCTTAGATGGAAAATTGTGACGGAAGTGTTAAGTAACTAGCTTATCACCACAATCACAAAGCCAATATCCCATTAGTCGTCCTTGACGACATGCTATATCCAAGTATCAGAGTTGCCGTATTATTTTTTGCAATAAGTCCCAGATAAACATGGCATCTATAAGCACCAACCCCTTCAAGGGGTATGAAAGTGAACGCAAGTAAGATGAAAGTTATGGTTTTTGATAGAGAAGAAAGTAAAACGATATGTGAAATAAGAATTGAAAGGGAGTTGATCGAGCAAGTAGATGAGTTTGTATATTTGAGTTGCGTATTTAGCAGGGATGTTAGATATGATATGGATATAGAACGACAAGTGAACGCAGGAAATAGAGTAAATGGGGCCCTACACTCTATTGTGAAGAGTCAGAATGTGTCAAAAAAGGCACGTATGGCAATTCACAATGCTGTGTTGGTGTTGAAAGTTGGGTGTGGCAGAAGAAGCACGAGAGTAGAATAAACACAGTAGAAATGCGGTCGTTAAGGAGGGCTGAATCCGAATGACAGGGTGAGAAACTGTCCCCACGAACGGGTTCCCGCCTTGTCGTGGCGGAGGGGCTTAGAAGCCGTGGCTTGGTCACCCACGGCGAAACAAAGAGGAACCCATATGGCTGGTCCAAGGTGGAGGGCCGGCCCGAGGTGGCCACTCCGAGTGGGCTTGGGGAGCCCACTTCGGATGTGTGTTGGTGGACTGCGGTGAGAGGTGTGTCCTCCCCACCTACCGCTGCAGCCGAGGTGGAGTCGCGGAGGAAGAGGAGTGTTGGTATGGCGATGCGCCACTCGCCCTATCCTCCGCGACTCAAACGGGGCCGCACCGTTGATGCGGAGGTGGTGGGGCTGCGGGGGAGAGGATTGTCGGTATTGCGAGGCGCCGCTCTCCCTACCCTCCGCAGCCGAATCTTGGTTGGCGGCGGAGCCATAGACCAGATCCGCCGCTGGGGTCGGGAAGGCTAGTACTTCTAAGTGCTTGTTTTTCCTGGCCCCATGGCCTTCTTGCATTGGACGCGGTGGCGTCCGTTGCGCAGATGTAATTAGAGGCCGAGAAGGAAGGCGCGCCATGTGTTCTGGTGCGCCTTACCTGTGAAGGAAGAACGGGGTGGAATATTCCGCTCCCGAGGAGGTGCTGCCATGGGGCGGCAGGCGCTGGTGGGGCTGCGGATGTGTGCGAAAGCGTTCCCGTGGCCCTGCCAATAGCGACAAAGGTGGAACACCATGGGGTTTTCGTCGGTGCGAGTCCGACATAACCCGTCCTTGCCCCCGCGAGGCGGGTATGCGTAGGCATTTCCCCATGTACAAAAAAAAGGGTGAGAAACTGTGCGATAAGAGAAGAGTGTGGTTTGCAAGTTGTGATGTTGTGACCAGGATTAAGAAAGAAATTCTTTGGTTGTTTGGTCATGTGGAAATAATGAATGAGTAAGGAGTGACAAAAAAAATTATGTTGCAGAAGTGAATGGCAGAGTAAGAAAGGGACCTACTAGGCGAAAGTTTATCGACCAAATTGGCGATATATTAAAAATGGGCCAAATTAGGAGTATCCTTAACCGATGAGCATGTATTCGTAGGTATATGGATGTGAAGGATGCGAAAGAAGTCTGAGAGGATCGTGCCAAATGGAAGTCTGTAGTCTTTGCCTAACCCTCTGGATGACAGGCGTGAGTGTTTATGTACTATAAGCACCAAATCAACATGGGACAAATATGAATGTCGAAACTTATTGTTTGCTTTCTATTTTTGAACGTTAACATACGCGATAGTGAAAAGAAATTATATAAAACAGGCTTACAGTTTTGTATCGATAACACACACAAGCACACACACAACACACAAACATACACTCACACACACACACACACACACATTAGTAGGTAAATAAGGTTTTAGTTTTAGTTTAGTTTCGTGTAATACATAAATATATATACATTTTTGCATATATTTATATAAACGTATTTTTATTTTATCGCCTTTCTCAAGATGTTAATACTGGTTAATTTGTGTTTTACTATAAGAAAGTAAACTTAAGGCAATTCTCAGTGTACTCATTATTAATGTTTAACTCTAAGCTTATAATAATAAGACGTTCTTTTTATCATCATGTGGTGGCGATGAAGAAAATCTCTTACGGACATATATAGTCTGCATTGCAAACGAGTTAACCGAATTAGGTCATATTCTCACAATATATTTGTTTTGTCTAGCTAGCTCTCAGGATCCAATAGGTGGCGCTGTAGATATGTTATTAACGAATTATAAAATGCTCTTGGAAAATGCTGAAAAATCTTACGGCCACCGTAACCGTCTCCAAATGTAAGATGTCTAGAACTACGTTACGGTAAGCGTTACCGAGATACGGATGTTCGTAAAGATATAAGAGTTAAAGAAAAGTTAAAAACGTGTGAAATATATAGATTACAGCACTGAGGCACTGTTTTACATGTGTATATAAACTAGAAACAAAAGAAAATTTCAATGATTATGACATTGTGTAACCTCTGAACTAAGTCGAACTCAGTTGTTACGCAGATTGTAACAAATAAGTTCACCTTAGTCCAAACTGGCTATGTCTGGCTCAATAAGGGAATCCCCGACTTTTTCTGCCACCAGGGCAGCGTCACTTAAACACTTGAGGTGTAGGTGTGATATTTGACAGATTGGGGAAGTAATTTTGTTTGAAAGATATAAAGGTTAATGTTATTTTCTGCACTATTAGTTATATTTTATAATAATTAGAATAAAAATAAATAAACCAAACCAAACCAAACACATATTCATAAAAACAGAGAAAACAAAAATATTGTTAAAAATATGCAAAAATAATAAAGAAAAACGACTGAGGCTTTGTTTTGTGTATTAAAATAGTATTCTAGAAACCAATAAGATTTTATTTAAATTTAAATTATCAATTAAATCACATTGTGTAACACAGAACTGCACCTCAGTGTCAACTAGCGACCTCTGGTGAGATTATTAGCCCTCATTATATGAGAATGACCTTCGTCCGT